TGAAGTATAATGTGTTGAGTCAGCTTTCCGAGAACTGCAACGGAGCCTCCAGAGGCCCTAAAGGAGCCGAAGAGTCTTAGCCAATCAGATCATGATGGAGCTTTCTAGAATATCAACGTGGCGTGCTACTATGTGTCAGTAGCATAATATCTTTTAGCGGATTGGCCAAAATATGATGTTGATCTAACGAATGTTAACATCTATGAATGCCCGTGTTTTTCTGTACAAAAATGAACCTTTGGAGTAAGGTATTTTTCGTTTATTTTGCGCCTTTTCTGTCGCGTTCAGGTCGCTGCGTAGTTCTAGCTTGCGAGTTACCAGAATAGCTTAGGAACCGAATAGAGCGTTCTAATTAACATGACTTATCATAATGGAGCTAATTAATTCTAATTGCTTAAGGAGAGGCAGTTAGCTGTGATAGGAAAGACCTTAAACAGACAAATATATGTGATGGGTAGAAGTAATCGTTGAGTGTTTTGTAACTTACATTTTCACCGCCGATTGCGTTTTCGTTAAGCAACAAGTAACTAACACATAGTCATCTGTTTAGTCAATGAGTTAGTGTTTCTATCCTCTATTTCGCTGTGATTGAGGATCGGTTTCGTGATACTTTTCCCCACATACTTGAATCATTCAACATGACACAAACGAAAGTTAAGAGGATAAATTTTACACCACAACTTGATGTCGGTAGGACAGATAATAATGTGGTGTTGGATAGCGTTTTATCAACTGATATTTCTCACGCCACAACAGTACACAAATTGAATTCGAAAACTTTTCACTCAAATTGAATAGTCAAATCCAACCAGTTTTCCAGTGTCGTCGTTCTGGTGATGCTAGCCTGACCTCATGGATGTATATATATGAGATATATAATGATCCACTGATTATCAGGTAGTGTTGATTAAGAGGATCAAGGTGATCATTAGAAAATGATAATTTGCGGTACAGAGAAATTTGAGAACAGAAACGAACATTAGGTACAATAAATATGGAGCGGCGGCTTGATGGTTCAGTTTTTAGCCACTCAATCTACTTCAGTTCGGGTAGCCGAGTCACATCAATAATCCTCACACTTAAAGCTTCGGTCACACCCAAGTATCCAGTGAATGAATGAATTAATTAAAAAATTATAAAAACAAATAATACGCATCACTGGTGTTCCTTCCGTTTCAGGCCATTGAGGCTATGTATTTTCTTCGGGATATTTGACGGTTGGTCATTAGCTAGGATTTCATGAAATGAAATAGAATATTTAGCGATTGTACATATGTTTCATTTATTTAAAGTGGAAAATTAGACCCACATAGATTCAAATACTCATTCTCATTTGAACTCGCGTAACTCATTACTCAAATGATTATAATTAGAGGTAATTTTAGTTTTTTGAATCATCAACAATCAAATGACAATATTGATCAGTCTATGCATATTATGCACAAACCATACAATTGTCAAACTAAGCAACTATTTAAAATAATTAAGGAATACTTATTGAACATATATATTTGATTGTGTACATCAACTAATTTTTTCTGAATTTAATAAAACTACTTCATCCTTGACCTAAATCATTAACTCACATGATGTTTAATAGATAAATCAGGCTATATATTGGTGTGAGATTTGAAAATATATGCAACCGTTTTAGAAGATTGTTTCCATAAAGACATCATCTGTAAACATGGTACAGATAATATCCTGAAAGGTTTAAAGATTCGCTACATAGACCAAAAACAAATGGAAATCTAGTAATCGCCAAACCTAATAAAGTGTCAGGAATAGTTCTAATGAACAAAACAGTATATGTAGAAAAAATGAATATAATACTTGGTGATCAAGGCAAATTTCAGAAACTGTCTTCTGAGGACGACCCGAAAGAAGAGTAAACGACAGTTGACTCAATCATTAAATAGTCTGAAACAAATCGATGCAATACCCCAGGACTTATATACAACACTCAGACCCATTGTTACATGTGATATTTGTACGAACTAATGATTCTTTTGTACTTGATTACAATCCGTTCGTTTGTGCTCAACTTTCTCTACTTGCTGTAAATTGCACTATTTCGGGCATTGCTAGTTAGCACAATAATTCGGATACTTCTAATTGTCATATTGGCGTTGCGATTGAGCTTGTGTTTGAACAGTTGGATATACATTCAAATTCTGAAGATTACATTGTAAAGGGTTGAAATTTGGTATAGTCAGGAAAGATGTTAAGGATGATAAAACTGTTGCTCGTTTCCTCACATCCATCGGAAAGGATGTTTACAGCCCACTAAAATCTTTGGCATTCCTAGATAAGCTTATTTCCTTTCCCTACGCAAATCACGAAGAACTACAACCAAATCATGTGAAATGTACTTATTTCGAATGCTGTGAAAGAGTAGAATTTCATAAAATGATTCGTCAGAATAACCAAAAGGTTAGAGAATTTATCTTTGAGTTGCAGTGATCAACTTCATGTGAAGCTGCATGATCGATTGACTGCAGGGATCAACGTACTTAATCTGGAAATTCATGCAAATGCCGAAGTTATATTTTCACGATGTTAGACCTGCGTGTATTAATTATGAGGCAGTGCATGAAATTGACTTCCAGGACATTAAGGATTCCACTACATCACTTAGTTACCTCAATCCAATGAGTACTCAAGGTCATGCAGATTACAGTTCATTGAGGAATTTTAAAGCAGGTCACAAATTTGGTAAATGTTTGTCCTGTGGAAAATTTCACTTACGTAATTTATGTATTTCACCATGCTAAATGCTTTAAACGTGGTAAAATTGGACACATCCAATCATTTCCAAAAATAACTACTGTGCATTTCGCCACAGGCAATGCTAAACTTCGTCATTCATATCCTACTAATTCGGTTGATTTTAATGATCATATATCATCCTTATTTACAAGTTCCAGTTATTCGCTTCATATTCAGAAAATATTGTCTATCCAGTGGTGCTTTTCACGATTTTATTGTTGACACTGGCAGTATCAAGTTCATCATTTCAGTTGGGAAGTTGAAGTCATTAAATCCCGATGTTATAATTAAGCCTACCAAAGTTTCCATTTCGAATATTAATGATCATGAACTTTTTATTCTTGGATGTCGTAATTTGTTAATCAGGGATGATAAATCATCAATTGTAAACTTCTCATCACCGAGCGTTGGTCGTCTCTACTAGGTTTAGAGAATTCAAGAATACTTCAGGGTCAACTTTCCTTATCGACCATTAGAAATAGTTCCAATGGTATGCTTGATAACTTGCTAACTATGGAATTGAAGAGCGGAAAATTACATACGATTCCAAAGTCCCCTCATTCTCATGTGCAGGCAAGAAATCTCAAAAACAAACGTCAATTCTACTACTGCTGCGAAGTTAAAAGACCCGGAGAGGAGAGCATATAAAATTCCTCAGTGCAGAATTACTAAACCGTACGCAAAAGAAACAATGGAATTGCTCAAACAAAAAAATCTACGTAAAAGAACTCCTTCTCCATAATCAGTGGAAGGCCTCTTAAAACAGGTCAATAAATCTGCGGGTTATATGCAAGCCAACCACAACAACCACATGGTTTTCAGTACTCTATTGGGATACAAATATCTTTCTTTACTATATGGTGAATAATAGTGAGCACTTCCAAAATTATAGTAAAGTCTTCCAGTTATCTAACATTTAGGTATGTATACTAAGACGTCATCAGTTGTTCCTATTCATTAGGTTAAAGTGAATTCAAATAAACTTAGTAACTAAAGGTCTTTAAATGATGAAGAAAATGACAAAAGCAAACGTATCATTGTAGATTTTTGTGCTAATGAAAATATATTAGCGTCTAACTAGAACAGTTTTCACCCATACAGTACTGATTTAATATAAATTATCATACAGGTATGGATTTCAATGAAGTTTAGTAAGTAGCTGAATTCAAGTTGAAAGTAGATGACGCCGAAACTGTTGGAATAACCACAAATTAAAAGCTATTTATGACTATTTCCTTCCATTGTTTAGGGTTTCATTAATGACAACGCTATGTTTGACTGGAGAGGAAGATGTGACCAGTTCCTGAATATACTGTTGTAAAGTGTGAGTAGTTTAACATTATGTGTATTAGTCAGTGTCCACTTTTATCAGTTACACCCGAGAGATTCAAGTAATAAAAAATGAAATTAGGTCGAGCGGGTTCGAACCTAAAACTTAGAGACTTAGTCTTAATGAATCTCCACATATGGGACTTGTAGGTGACATCATATACTGTGTGAGACGAAATAGACTGAGGGAAATAATCTATAAACAATCCATCATTTACGAAGGCAATGCATCTTCCAAACATACATGATTTCACTCGGAAAATCACACCCAGAACTCCTTGTACATTTTAAGATCAATCAACAGACGGGATCAATGCAATAATGAATCGGATGGTAAGCTGAGATGTATAAAAATTAATACTCCTCGTTTAGGATTAGTAAATAACCAGAGATAAGTGGACGGTAATAGTGAGTGGTTTAACCTGGAAGAAATTGAGGCAACACTTAATTTTCTTTAAAATCCTAGTTCGATTATTTTAACTTTTTCATCCTGTGAACAGTAATGGTCATAAGAAAACTTTTGTTCGAAAAATGGGAGGGAAAACTTACATATTATATACAGAGCATTAAGTTGTAGCCAAGCAAAATGCTATATTTTAGCCGAGGCAGTTCAATAAGATTTTATTCTACCTTTACAGCTGTCGCATTTTTACATCGTTATTATAAAATCCAAACTCCATTATCCCATTAAGTAGATGTTTGAGGTGGAATTAAATAATTTTCCAATGTTTATTTAAACTGCATTTATCAAATATGATTTAAAAGCAACAGCAGTCGAATGCTGAAAACCGTTACATATGATCGATTCCGAGAGGTCAATTTGTCAAAATTTTGTTTGTGCATTCTTAAGAACTATTTGATTCTACGAGTTTATGACAGTCTCCAATCAAAAATAGAAAATTAACAGTGTAGGATATATTTTAAATAAACTTGGACATAATGAGTAAATGATCATGTTTAAGAAATTTATACAATGATGATAGCCGAGATTTTATTGAGTAGCTTTATATTTGGAGGTATCAGTGTTACTTCGAAGGACTCCGAAACCTGAAGGCAGTTGTCACCGTGTGACTGTTGGTGCGGTGTCACTGATTCTTGTGAACAACAGTTAAAATCCCATACGCTTCACACAAAATACTTGATCTATCGGTATGAAACAACACAATATATGTATAAGGATCACCTACTTTGACTCAAACTCAATTACTAACACTGGCGATTCGGAGCTTTCTTCAATACCTGCTGCATGTTTGTATATGCTACTGAGAACTCCTGTGGTTTGATCATTTACAGTCCCGTGAGAGGCAATACAAAGGCCATCCGAATCAATACATTGGACTGCTGTTACTTTAGGGTTGGATGACCTGTGCGGAAACATATAAAGATGACCAATATATATATATATATATATATATATATATATATATATATATATATATATATATATATCAAGAAATTCTTCAATTTAAAATGCATTTAACTAAGTTATTTTTAATTACAACTAGAAGCATGGAAAAATATTCGAAAAAATAAATTAAAAAGTTGATTTCATGATTAAAGGTGTTTTCTGTGAAGTGGATTGTATAGTTTAAATCAGCACTAATAAGCTCAAGTTTTTCATAGAACTAATAATTGTCTTCTTTGCAGGTGACGATAGTGCAGTTTTAGAGAACTCGCAGCATTTTTACTGGGTTAACATGTTTGTAGATGAAACGGAAGCCTTCACTTAACGAGCTTTCGGATCCAGTAGCAATGGATCACTGGTCTTGAGGTATGAACAGTGAAAAGATAGACAGAGGAAGGCTAAGACACTTGTACTTTAAGGTCTCGTAGTTTGGGGTTATATAAAGCAGTAACATGGAAAGATGAAAAAGGATTATGCTATTAGAGGTTTGTAAATGGAGATAAACAGGATTTCAAAAGGACAGTCGTATTTTCCCTTGATGAGTAAATTCTTTAGTATTGATTGTATCTAAAAGTGGAAAAACTTTTTGTATTTATTTGAGCCAAGCTTTTTTCAGTTACAGTGAAATAAACATCACAGCATTTTGTGTTCAGCGTCTATCACCATTAAAGCCTTAAAAAACACTTATCCTATAGATAAGTTTTCCTGTTGTTCTCTCTGTGAGATCACTAACCAATTTCAATGACGTAAGTAAAACATTGTAGTGGTAGACCCACATGCTTCTTCTCGGTCGAGGATGGAATACAGTGTGACAACTTTGTTGATTTACCTATTTGAACACATAAACATTGGTACAAGGAGGCATACATATGCGCCACACAATAATAATGAGGCCAGTAGCAGTTATCATTGGTTTGTGTGAGGGCTGTAACACTGCCTGGGCGCCCAGACTGAAGTAGATAGTTTTATTAGGGGGTCACACCTCGAGCATTTAACCTGAAGGTCTAATCCACAAAGCAGTGAGCAACGGCCGAGAGTGGGGAGAGTCCGCTCTCCCTCTCGAAATACTCTCACACGGCCACGCGTATACAGTTTCTGCCAGGGAAGTCCTACTCATTGCCTTCTCGTGGCGGGGGTGTTGTCTACGAAAATGAGAGGACGAAGAGCGAATGTCCGGAGCTTTAACCGGATTCCAAACAAATGGTGTACATGGGCTCCAGTATCCTGAGGGAACAAATGGCGTATGAACCAATCGTTGGTCACCGGCTACCATTGGATTGCATCTCCTTACGATGCTCCACTGCCTTGTGGGTTAGACCTTTAAGTCAAAGGCTCGGGATGTGACCCCTAAGATAACCACCTGCTTTGGTTTGGGCACCCGGGCAGTATCACAGCCCACACACAAATGATGAACTCTTTATGTCTATGGAAATTACTTTTCTCGCTTCAAAAAACAATCAATTGATTCAAATGATTATCATTACAATTATTGTCATTATTAATACTATTATTATTATTACTATTATTGTCATTATTATTATTATTATTTTCCACATTATTCACCCTCTTTTATACTTATACAGCGGCTCATCTTTGGTGGAAATTCGACTCTATCTAAACGTCCTTGAGTCACTGTCCCGTTGAAAATTGTATGTTACCACCGAATATGAGTACTAAATCAGTTTTTCTGAAACCACATATACCATTCAAATTGGCTGCCTTCAACGTTCGCACACTAATGCAGATTGGACAACAGATAGGGCTGGTTATGTCTTTGGAAAGTCTTAATATCGACGTCTGTTGTCTATCCGAGACCCGTATTCAAGACTCTGGTGAAGTACTACAAATTCGATCTCCATCTGTCGCTTCAAAAAGCTTGTTTGACGTGCGTTTATCCAGGGACCCTGTGGCATCTTCGTCTGTTCTCGCTGGCGTTGGTGTCGCACTAAGCGCTACAACTGAGGCAGCACTAGTCGATTGGATCCCCATTAACAGTCGGTTATGTGCTGTCAAATTATAAAGTCCTATCAAAGTAAGAAGAAATCAGTGTGAGAAACAATGGTCTATCGTCATCTCCGCCTATGCTCCGACAGAATGCAGCCCGGACGCAATCAACGATGAATTCTACCATCAGTTAACAGTTCTTTTACAGAAAGTGCGTTCGACAGATATGGTAGTACTAGCTGGAGACTTGAATGCTCAGGTCGGGCGTCTAGGCACAGAAGAGAGTCGTTTAGGTGACTGATGGGGAGTTGTTGACCGCACGTCAGATAACGGGGCCGTCTACTGCAACTGTGCACAGACCACAACCTGTTTCTGGCTAGCACTAACTACCGGCACAGTCATCGCTGATGTGCCACCTGGCGTCCTCCCTCTGCATATCAAGCCTGGACTCAGATTGATCACATCGCGATCAGCTACCGCTGGCGTGGTTGTGTACAAGACTACCGTTTCTTTTGAAGTACCAATCTGGACTCTCATCATGCACTTGTTTGCGCTAATCTTACCTTACTTTCCAGTGGCTAACAAATTCATCGATCTAAACAGATCGATGTCAGTAAATTGGTTGCAGCTTCTGCTGCAACTAAATATCAAATCGAGATAGGTTCAAGGCTAGCTACCATCCCACCGAAAAGTACAGATGAACACTGGTTGCATCTGGATGACGCCATGAAAATGGCGAGTAAAGTCGCTTGCGGCTTCACGAAACGTCCACTTTATAAGCACTGGGTTTCTTCACGCTCCTTACAACTTATTGAAGCCCGTTGGTCTACTCGGTGGACCGTGAATTTTTCCACAAACGATGACTGTTACGTAACGAAATTGGGCAAAGTTTGCGTAAGAACCGAGAAGCTTGGTGGTCGAGGCGTGCTAATGAGTTGGAAGCAGCAGCTACATCTGGTGACTACCGGAAGCTCTTATCCGAGCCACTGGCAGCAAGAAGTCTGGTGTGAGTGAAACAATCTGCGAGGATGATGGGATGCCAATCACTAACATCCATCGACGTCTTGGACGGTGGGAAGAACTTTTCGAAGGGCAGTTCAACTGGCCTGCTGCTCCGGCAACATCGGTCAGACTGTCCTGCCCTCCATGGCCGGTGACGACTGATCCACCAAACGAGGAGGAAGTCCGCAAGGAACTCCAACTTTTGAAGCGTTACAAATCACCTGGCCCAGATGACCTACCTCCGGCTCTTTTTAAAGATGGTGGTGACTTTTTGACTAAGGAATTGACGACGTTGTTTACAAAGGTTTGGGAACTAGAGAGTGTACCAACGTCATGGAATGAGTCGATAGTTGTCCCTATCTTTAAAAAGGGTTCACGTCGTTCCTGTAACAACTATCGGGGGATAAGTCTACTTCCGATTGCGTCCAAATTATTGGCTTCCGTCATACTTCATAGATCGTTCAAAACCCGAGAAAGATTGACTCGCGAAGAGCAGGTTGAGTTTCGTTCTGGTCGAGGATGTATTGATCATATCTTCACCCTCCGCCAAATGTTAGAACACCACCATACTTATCAAAGGCCAACAATCGTAGTGTTTCTTGACATAAGGGCTGCCTTCGATTCGTTGGACAGGACTGTTCTCTGGGATTGTCTATTGAAGAAGGGTGTGCCTGAGAAGTCTATTGACATCTTAAAAGCCCTATATAAAAACACCTCAGGCAGAGTGAGGGCATACAACCACCTCTCTCCATTGTTCCATTCGAGCAGTGGGGTTAGGCAGGGTTGCCCAATCTCACCATTCCTCTTCAACTTTGCCATCGATGACATTCTGGAAACAGCTCTGATGAATGTAAGTAATAGCTGTGTGAATCCGTTGCCTGGAGAAAGACTTCTCGACCTTGAGTATGCGGATGATATTGTCTTACTGTGCGATAATGCCCAAGCCATACAATCCGCACTTAATCAGTTGGTAATCAATGTCCGTAGGTATGGCATGTACTTTGCACCTTCGAAGTGCAAAGTACTTCTACAAGACTGGCAGGACCCTGATCCTACACTCACCCTGGGTAGTGAGCAGATACAAATAGTCAAGAAGTTCATGTATCTAGGTAGCTGCATAAGTGCTGGTGGTGGCGTGAGTGATGAGATCAATGGAAGTATAATGAAAGCCAGAGCGGCTTATGCCAATCTGGGCCATCTTTGACGCCTTCGTGATGTTAGTCTGGCTGTAAAAGATCGGATCTACAACGCGTCGGTGAGAGCACTTTTGCTCCATGCTTGTGAAACCTGGCCTCTCCGAGTTGAGGATGTTAGGCGACTCTGTGTTTGATCATCGTTGTCTCTGAAGGATTGCCGACATCCAGTGGCAACACCATGTTAGTAATGCAGAGGTTCGGCATCTTGTGTTCAGGCTCAGTGACGATAACCCAATCGGTGTTACCATCTTGAAACATCGACTTCGCTGGCTTGGACATGTTCTACGAATGTCGTCCCAGAGAATTCCATGTCGTGCATTATTTGCCGACTCTGGGACTGGTTGGAAGAAGCGGAGAGGTGGTCAGTGCAGGACATGGTGTCGTGGTATGAAAGAAAGCTGCAACGGACTGGCTTGTGTCGGTCCTTCACGACTCCCTGGTTGGGGTCTGAGAGATGGTGCTACACAGTGGCTAGAGACGTTATCAGATATGGCTCAGAATACAAGCCAATGGCGATCCTGCTGTAACCTTCTTTTACTTTCTTCATAAAAAGTGGTTGTGTCTCCCTACCTGAAAGATTTCTTCTGATTGTACCTTTCCGTTCCCTCGTTACTACCACACTACCTAACACCAATCTCTTCGTTATTGTTCTCTTTTTCTTTTGCGCTCCTTAGTTTTTTTTCTATTTCTCTTCGAATTCTCATTGTTTTGTGTGGCACATATATATTGGCGCTCTCTTGTACCAATATTCATGTGTTCAAATAAATAAATAAATAAAATTAGGAGATGTGGTCTCATGGCAGTCGGTGAACAACAAATGGTTCACACACGTTTTGTTCCCTCAGGATCCTGGAGCTCATGTGCACCATTGCTTTAGAACCAGGGTTTTCCAACTCTCCTAGGTTGAGTCTCCGTGTCTACCAACCCGGTTAAAGCGCCGAAAATTCGCTTTCCGTACTCTCAATTTCGTAAACAACACCCCGCCACGAGAAGGCAGTGAATAGGACTTCCTTGACAGTGGCTGTATGCACGTGGCCATATGAGAGCATTTCGAGAGGGGAAACTGACTCTACCTACCCTCAGCCATGCCAGGGCATTTGGGGGCAATGTGGCAACTGCAACAAATGGTATCACAACGTGTGCGCCGGACTCACACCGACTGTAAATAAAGGGTGCGGCAAGTCACCATCACGTTGGTTGTGCAGAGCATGCTGCTCTACAAGGCCTCTGCTAATTCATGAGGCGATCGAGCTGCTAAACAGAGCTAGAAGGATGCCCTCAAATAGACAGTTTTCAGTTTTCAAGAAAGCAGTGAGCGTTATCACGCGTCTAGCTATGGATTTAAATGAAACCGTCAAGGTGGACCTTAATAACGCAACGGATAACAAAAGCGCACAAATGTAGGAATGGTTACAAGAAAAAAACCATGCTGAGAAGAAACAAATTATAGAAAGCTCTCAGATATGTGAGTCGACGGTTTCAGCTCCGGATTTATATATCAAAGCAAAACAGACTATAAAAGAACAGACTGAGTGGTGTAGATGATTTGATCAACAGACAAAATAAGGCGAATGAGTGGCTTAGTTACACCCAGAAAAGGAAACGTTAGGAAACAGAGTTAGACCTTCACATCTGACGCCAGATCGGACTGTAGAAGTGGGAAAATTTCAGGAAATAAAACTCCACAACTTGTTAATACGGACCTCACTGACAGGTCAGTCATTTTCATAAGTTAAGGGTCTTCCAAAAAGCAACCAAAGACTATATGTAATTGTTAGAAACCACAACCCTCCTAGCTATATTCCAGAGCATTAGAGATCCCACGAGATATGACCTACAAAACTCTTCATCTCTCTTGAACTTAATCTTCACATACGGTGATGATCAGTCAAATAACTTTTCTCCTACCTTTAGGGAGGAGTGATCGTGCGGTCGTCTTACTCAAGTTCATTACTGAGATGGTCTGTCAAGCAGTTTTACCAGCCCGTCCTAACATATGAAAGACAGACATGAAGATGATCAACTCTGCAGCCTCGGCTGAAAACTGGATAGTTGACTCAGGGGCAACAGCAGAACAAACATGGACTTATTTCCGGCAGTTATACAATCAAGTTACTCAACCATTTATAGACTGGATAGTCCCAAAGAAGAAGTATGGCTATCCCTGGATATTCGATGTTTACTAAAACAAAAGAAGAAATGTTGGAACATCACTAGTCTTGGCACAGCAAGTACGATGGAACACTACAGGTCGGTGCGAAATAAGTGTAAAATTACAACCCAGGGAGCTCAGTAAAAATATGAAAAACAGTTGGCCTAACCTGTAACCAAGCAGCCTAAGAGACAATTCTCGTACATAAAATTCTACGGAACAAGGACGCAGCATAAGGTTCCTAACTTAATTAAGGAAAGACATGGACCTCGACAGATTGAGTATGATCAGAAAAAGATAGAGGCTGTAGCTAAATATTTCGGGACAGTCTTCGCTCAGGAGCCTCTTCTAAACGAAAAACCAGACCCAAATATAAGGTCGAAAAATTGTCTGCTTACTGTAGACTTCGATCGAGACGGCCCTTAGCATTTTAGACACGGAAAAGTCAACAAAACCGGATGAACTACACCCTAAAATCTTGAGACATTGCGCAATATATTGCTGCCTCACTGACTACGCTATCGAATATGTCACTAGGTCAATGTGAGTTACATACGAACTGGAAGGATGTAATTGTCAATCCAATACATAAGACAGGATCAAGCCAACTATTTAAACGACCTGTCAAATGTTTTATAAACACCAACATTTACACTGAAGAGAGAAAATCTAGAGCCTCAGTAAAATTACTGAGAAATATTTTTTTAAGCATTAGGAATTATGTGAGCTATCATAAACTGAAAAGAATTCCGTTACCTTGACCAGTAAAATGTCATGGGAAAAAGCCGTGTTATAAGTTTCTGTGGAAATATTGGAGAAAAACTGAAATTTCCCAAGGTCTGGGGAAAGTCCCAAAGTTTTGGAGAAATCCTGGGGGTTTTGCACTACTCCCCCCACCAAAAAATTCCAACTTTTCTACAGCGGACCCCCAAATTTACCCTAGCCGGTCAAAAGTTCCCCCAAAATAAGGAGATTGGCTAAAGGGTATATCTAGAAGTGTGCATGACTGAATTATAAAGTTAGTATACAGAAGTTAATTTCATTTTATATTTAATGAGTATGCAAGATGTTGAACTCATCCAAGAATTTATTGTTGTCTCAGCTAGTAAAACTTACATATTGCAACTTCTGAGACATGAAAGGTACGTCCTACCCAAATTATATAAACGACGAAAAGACAAGGACTCACACTCTTGACAAGTTACCTAAAAGTTTCGTCTCCATTTGGAAACTGTACGTATACCATCAACTTTCAATAAACAATATTCGCAAAACGCACTAATGTTAAGGTGCAATTTCAGCCGTTTATCGCTGCCTAAAGGGGATAGTCTAGCTACTAAGACACACTAATTCTTGTGAGTCCGATTTATTTGACAGCGCGAGATGCTCGTACGTAACTAACTGTATGCTTTCCCGAGCTTCCAATTTTTGGGAAAATTTGACCCATTTTGAGGAAATTTTGGCGAAGCCGCTATAGTAAAATTTTGGGAAACTTTGAGGAAATGGCACAAAAACCCCAAATTTTCTCCAGACCTGGGGAATTTCCCCAATATTTCCTCAAAATTCCCCTTTAACTTTGGTGAAAGTCATTTGTCTTCGGGAGTTTCCCGAAATTTCCCCGAAATTGGAAGCTCGGGTTTTTTGCAAAAATCGGACTCGCATCTATGTTCGATCGAATTGTCCCATAGTGATTAGTAGCGAGTTAATGTAATACACTAAGTCAAAAACTATATATTTGTTAAAATCTCACTGATTGAGTCTGTAGCGGTAAATAAATCCCCAAAATAAATAGCTCTAAGTTTTCGACATTGGATGCTGACCATATGTTTTAGTGGACTCATCTAGCTGAAGGCGCTCGGTCATGCATCCGCACCAGATCACGTGTGATAACGCCGTGCTCAACATCAACCGCAATCGCTAGCCAGATTAGATCAGAGAATTCCGATATATTGGTAATCGCCAAATACACTCTTCCGATCTCCTGGACTCTGTCTTTTGATTTCTCTGGGTGGGAACGAAATATATTAGAAGGTGTTACTGGTAGAAGCATTGTCAAACACTGAGTACCTGTGACATCATCATTGGTGAGACTGACGTGATCTGGTACACCTAATTGCAACTGTGAGTCTGTCCCTTTTTGGGATTTTTATATATCATTGCCTTTTTTTGAACATTTTGATTTTTTTTCGTGTTTTTTCTTGGATATATATATATATATATTGTCCCCTCGTTCATTATCGTACTTCATACTTCATCATGACTGAACAGACACCTAAAGTACTCAAGCTTAAGACTTCGTCCCCGCCCTCGTTTCAACTGATGCCTTTCTGGCCCGACAACATCGAAGCCTGATTCTGCTACGCAGAAGCCGACTTCCACGAGCACGGCGTGATCGACACACGTGCACAATTCCTCGCAGTAGTTAAGGCACAACCGCGCGAATTCAACATGTACGTAACACCTAGTATGTTTACTAGTGATGTTTCCGATCCTTGCGAAATCTTAAACGCTCGATTCTTTAACGAGGAGACCTAACCGATCGACAAAGGTTAGATCAACTCTTCAATAACATCAACCTGCAACACGGTTCTGCGACGGACATATTGCAACGAACGAGAGAGGTAATAGGCCCAAGAACGTTCGACGAAGGTCTATTCAAACAACTCTTCTTGTCGAAACTTCCCCAACAGGTGCAAGCAGTTCTGGTCTCGTTTTAGAACAACGCCTTAGACGAGCTAGCTGCATCTGCCGACCGCATTTTAGAAATTACGAAACCTTCTACTACCGAGGTATTTTCAGTCAAAGAAAAACCTCAAACGACTCAGAATGACATAACCGAGTTATGTCATACACTCACGCGTTGTCTAAATCTTCATACCGACCGTAAGAGATCGCGCACTCCACGTAGAAGCATTTCACGTAAGCGATCTGTCTCTAGACCACGAGAGACAGATAACCCGGACTAGTGCTTGTATCATAACCAGTATGGAAAGTTTTCCAGAAATTGCAGAAAACCCTGCAATTTTCCCAACACGAAACCGAGTGACTCGAAAAGCAGCTCGGGAAACTTCCAAGCCGGCACGCGTTAACGGCAACCGTAGCCGGCGAACATAGCCGTCTGTTATACGTCACAGATGTGACAACGAGAGTTCGCTACCTCGTCGACACTGGCGCAGAAGTTAGCGTTCCCCCAGCAAATCCTAACGACCGACTTCACGAATCGACCCTAAACTTACAGGCGGCAAACGGAAAACCGATCGCTACGTGTGGCAAAAGGTACGTTTACCTTAACGTGGGTTTACGCAAACCCATTCACTGGATCTTCGTTGTTGCAGATGTTTCTATGCCAATCATTGGTATAAATCTTCTACAACACCATAATCTGATCATCGATACGCGCAGACGGAAACACTAATTTATCCGTGTGCGTAACTTCCTTCTCTGGTTGCAGATTATCCCCAGTCACAATGAAGCATATGATAGATCCTGGGATACAACAAACGCAACCGAGATTACCGTGTGTAACCAGCAATGTTACACATCACATCACGACTACAGGACCACCTGTATTCTCTAAAGCACGACGACTAGCTCCTGAAAAGCTAAGGTTAGCGAAAAACGAATTCGATCACATGATAGACTTAAGAATCATACGATCGTCAAACAGCCCATATGCATCTCCGTTGCACATGGTCCCTAAGAAGGACAGTAACGATTGGCGTCCAACTGGCGACTATCGGCGATTGAATGCAAAAACCATTCCCGATCGTTACCCGTTGCCTCACATTCACGATTTGACAGCTACCTTGAAAGGTACAACTGTCTTTTCAAAAATTGACCTGGTTAAAGCGTATAACCAAATCCCTATGGCTACTGACGACATACCGAAAACAGCTATCATAACTCCCTTCGGACTCTATGAATTTTTGCGAATGCCTTTCGGTCTAAGGAATGCTGCTCAAACATTCCAAAGATTCATAGACGACGTTTTTCGAGGTCTCAACTTCGTACACGCGTATGTTGACGACTGTCTAATCGCAAGTCCGGACAGAGAAACACATCTCAAGCATCTGGGTCTTGTTTTCGAACGACTACAAAAACATGGCATTACTGTAAACGTTCAGAAATGCCAAATTGGGACCGACTAATTAGACTTTCTGGGACACACTATCGATGCTCAAGGTATCCGACCCCTTAGAACCAAAGTGGCGGCCATTCTGGATTACCCAGAACCGACCACCGTCAAGCAGTTACGCACGTTTAACGGCCTGGTAAGTTTCTATAGACGTTTCATACCGAAATGCGCATTACTTATGAAACCTCTGACCGACCAACTTCGTGGAAATGCGAAATCCATTAATTTGGACGACAACGCACGGAAAGCATTCTCCACAGTTAAGGAACTGATTGCTAAAGCAACAATGCTCGCACATCAGGACACCTAAGCACCCATTAGTATCGCAGTAGACGCACCCGACTCGGCATTCGGAGGCGCCTTACAACAATAGGTTAACAACTCCTGGCAACCCCTGTCATTTTTCTCTAGACGGTTGCTAGACACTGAATCAAGATACAGCACATTCGGTAGGGAGCTCCTAGCTATGTATTGTGCTGTACGGCATTTCCAACACTACATCGAAGGTCGTGAATTCACTCTTTTCACCGACCATAAACCGCTCACTTTCTCGTTAAGCTCTCCTTCAGACAAGTACTCTCCCCGTGAGTCTCGACAACTGGACTACATTTCGCAGTTTACTTCAGATATTCAACACATCTCTGGAGCAAACAATGTAGTTGCAGACGCCTTATCTCGCATAACTTCCTTGAACAGTTTCCAAGGAATCGACCTTCTTAAACTCGCCGAGCTTCAAAAAGAAGACACTGATCTTCAGCACGAGTTATCGTCCACAACACTTAAACTACGCATCAAACAGATGGGAACAGGTAAGGAAACCTTACTTTGTGACACATCTACAGGTAGGGATCGCCCAATCGTGCCGAAACATTATCGACACAATGTCTTCAATACATTGCACAAACTTTCTCATCCAGGTGTCCGTGCAACCATCAAGCTTATAGCAGAAAGGTTTTGCTGGCCTGAAATGAATAAAGACGTGAGGGAGTGGGCACGCTCCTGTGTAAGCTGCCAAAAATCTAAGGTTATCAGACACAATAAATGTCCCTTAGGCTCATTTAAAACTCCCGATGCTCGTTTCGACCATGTTCATCTGGATTTGGTAGGACCTTTACCAGATTCAAATGGATACTCTTACCTCTTAACCTGCGTAGACCGTTTCACTCGATGGCCAGAAGCAGTACCTATCAAGGACATCACTGCTGAAACAGTGGCTCGCGCCTTCGTTGAACGATGGGTAGCAAACTTCGGCTGCCCTTCAACCATCACTACAGATCGCGGACGTCAGTTTGAATCTGAACTTTTCCGTCGTCTGACCACACTTTTAGGAATCACTCGCTTCCGAACGACCGCCTACCATCAACAAACAAACGGGTTGGTAGAACGTTTTCACCAACAACTAAAAGCTTCACTATCAGCTGCAAACGTTTCACAGTGGAAGGACGCACTTCCACTCGTCCTACTAGGTATCCGCTATGCAGTAAAAGCTGACATTGGATACACTGCGGCTCAACTCGTTTATGGAACGACACTTCGACTTCCAGGAGAATTCGTGGATCCTTCATCCTCTTCAATGAACATGGATCTAACCTCCTACACGAACAGGCTTACAAACGCAATGCGTTCAGTTAAACCTGCTTCCACTCGACCTCAATCAACTGATGTTTTCGTTCAACCTGACTTACGGTATAGTACACACATTTTCGTTCGTCGAGACTCGCATCGACGACCATTCGAATCAGCATACGAAGGACCCTTCAAAGTTCTTCAACGTGAATCTAAGTACTATATAGTCGATAAGAACGGAACAAACGATAGCATCAGCATCGATCGCTTAAAAGCAGCGTATTTAGAAGGAAATCCTATTCACGTCGATTTTCCTTCGGTACAATCGCACAACACGACTCCTACACTCATAATTCATCAACTGACAACCAACACTAGCGGTGATACTCTGAATCTATATGCAAATATACCTAAAACGACGCGTTCTGGAAGAAGAGTAAGATTTCCAGAACATTTAAATGACTACTGCACGTAAGACACTACTCGACATATTATATTATCTCGATTTTTCTTTTTACGATATATAATATTTTTTTAAACAAACAATTTTAGTATGCCTATATATTTTTATTTTTATTTAAAAAAACAAAACGTAAAAACATTTTTAACGCTATTACGTATGCTTGAGTATATTTTCCATTTTTTC